CTTTGAGGGTTGTTAATGAAATGAGACTACTACCATCCCAAGACTGGAAAGAAATTAATGACGTGCTTTTGCTTTGATGTACTTTAATCACCTGTAATTAGATTGGATCCAGAGCTGTGCAGATGCGTGTGTAGAAACAAATGCAGTGGCCACTCAGTTGGTAACATCTGAGGAGGTCTGACTGTGCAGCATAACTGTTCCAGGACATGGTAGCCAGGGACTTCTTAACTGGCTTATGTGTGTGGTGGTCACCTCCCCAAAGGGCTTCATTTTTTGTTCATACCACTTGCATCCTTTTCTTTTTTTCCTTGGTGCTGTTGTCATACTGGTCACAAAATGTGACTTTTGCAGCTGTTGCTGGAAGGCTGTTCGAAAGCCTCCCTGGTTATTATAAAACACCTTTTAGTTTCCAGTCTCATTTTCCCCATGGTCAGTTTTTGTTTGACCTTGTGCCAGCTCTTTAATTTACCTTGCACAAATATTTCTCTTCTTCCCCTAAGGGCCTTTTGGAAGCTTTTTGGCATAAGGTGAAGGGTATTGCTTGTTCTTGCAAGGAGGATGCAGAGGGGGGAAAAAAGGGGGTCATCTGGTCCTTGCAGGGCTGGGTAGTGGGCAGGTTTGAGAAGTGGGGCATTGTGTCACAGGCTGGCAGATTTTTAAAGACAAGACACAGCAGTTTGTTAAAAGCATCCTAGCAAAAACACGAGAAGAGTCACATCCTGTTAGGCTTAGTTCTACAGGATTAAGTAAACAAAGTTGTCTTAGTCACTTTCTGTTTCTCCCAGCACACTGGTAAACCCTTTTCATGTTACTTTTCATGATTTCTGCAAGCAGTGCAGTCAAGACAGGTACCAAACAGCACTGCCCCTTGGCTGTGTCTGTGGGGCTGTGATAGGCATTGGATCAGGAAGCTGGTCTGGGTCAGTCTGGTTGAACTGGACAGTTGGGTTTGTCTTGCTTCAGCACTGCACAACTATCAACAGTATTGGAAATAAGTGAGTATACTTAACATAAGCACATGCCTTCCATGAAGTTTGTGATGCCTGATTTGTTCAAGTACCACTGCTGACTTTTTCATAAAATCATCACTCTGGCTCGTAGTTGTCCATTTAAAACTCCCAGAATATATTCTTCCCTGATTCTGTAGCAGAGCTCTTTAGTCCTCATAACTGAAGTTGTCTTGTCTTTAATGCTATCAGTTTGTTCGAAATGCCAGTTCTATGTGCTGGTAATGTCTTTTAGTTTTGCATTAAAAAAATGTAGTTTAATTTTAAGGAACCATTAGCTTGCTTCTAGTTGTGATGGATCCAGTTCTGAACCAACAGAGATGCCCCACAATGTTTTATCTTAAAAGAAAAAAAAAAAAAAAGCCAAATTGATTTACATTCTACCAGCAGGGAGTCAGTGTTGCATTTTAACCCTGTTTTCATTGACTTCTGAATTTTTCCTTCACAGTGCTTCCTAAAGCCTTACACAACTGAAACTAAGTGGGCAGTTGCTTAACCAAATATTAGTCATATCCTTTTTTATTAGAAAGTTTCTTTTTATTACTGGTTTTAAATGTATGAACAATCATTGCAGATCAGGAGAACCACAAATTATTATGTGGTTTATCTGATGCATAAAACTGTGAGACATGTTTCAAAGCTTGTTTTGAAGCCCTGCATGAGCTGGATCAGATGCAAGGGATTGAGTTATCTTCCCTGTCTTGGTTTCAGCCAGGGTAGAACCAATTTTCTTTCTAGTAATTTTTCTTCTCAGTCTTTTCTAGGTAGCTGCACTTGCTGAAATTAACATGTTTTTCAATCAGTCTCTGCTTGTAGGGCTGATAACACTTGATGTTTATACTTACTGCTGGAGAGTGGTGTGTAGAATCAAGGCCACTGCTTGGTTCTTAAAAATATCTTATGCCCCAGAAGGGAACAAAGGGGTCACACCTCCAACCATCCTTTGGGGAGGAGTGGACCAGACAGGTAACCAAAATTGACTAAAGGAAGTATTCATCCCATACCTGTCACCCTCGGTATAAATTTGAGTCATCATGAGGATCAAGTTCTCTTTGTTCATGGCTGGTGTCCTGAGAAGACTCCAGCCCTTTATCTGCCTTTCTTCCTGATCCCTGCATTCATGAATCCCTGCATTCATGCATCCAGCTCCTGTTTGCCAACTGACTGCAGGAGTCAAGTCTGGGACTTTTCCAGGGCCTGCCCTGCAGCCCCAGTGGTGATGTGGGCATTACTGGGGGGGAAATGTGATATGGCTTGTATATAGTTGTACCTATTTTGTATTTTCCTTTTCATCACTACTGTTCTGGTAAAGCTGTGTAGTTCAGTATCCAACCCATAAGTCTCTGTCCCTACCCTCTCTCCTTTCCCTATAGGGAAAAGAGTAATTAGAGCATCTGTTATTTGTTTAATTGTGGGCTCAGAGTTAAACAGTGGTGCTCCCTTATAGAATCATTCATGTTGGAAAAGACCCATAAGATCATCCAGTCCAACCTTTAACCTAACTCTACTAACCCAGCTCTACCAGCCCACTGCTAAACCATGTCCCTTAGCACCATCTTCATATGATTTTTAAACACATTCAGGAATGGTGATTCAACCACTTCTCTGGGCAGCCTGTTCCAATGCTTAATGACCTTTTCTGTAAAAAGGTTTTTCCTAACATTCAACCTGAACCTCCCCTGGTGTAACGTGAAGCCATTTCCTCTTGCCCTTTCTCTAGTTACTAGTGAGAAGAGTCCAGCTGCTCCCTTGCTACAACCTCCTTTCTGGTAGTTGTTCAGAGCAAAATCCTCATTTCCATCTCTCCCTGTTTGGGGGTGATGGGACTACTAATATAATCTTCCCAGGGAATCCCATCAAGCTTTTTAATGTCATACTGAGTTTTGGGATAGATATACTTCATAGAGTTACGTAGTTCAGCAAAAGCTGATATACTTTTTCTGGTTCTGGTACCTTGTCTCTGCAAGCTTTAATATTGGTTTGCTTTACTAATTTGCAGGTGGCCAGATGTCATCTATGTTCCCACTCTGTACTTTGGCCAAATCAGCCAGAATTAGAAATACCATCCTGTGCTCATATCTGGTCCAGGTTAAATCTGAAGTCATGGTTGATCTTGAACACAATATTTGCATTTTTGGTCATGTTTATTTTCACCTGAATCACCTTTGCTGACTGCAAATTGAAGTTCTAGATGTTATATCTAAATTGCATGCTTGCTTAGACATTCAGGTGGATCACTGAGCATCATATCCCACCTTCCAGTATCTTCAGAATAAAGAGAGGTTGTCACTGGCTTCCTCAATCACCTTTAGAAATTTGCTGAAGAAAAATATTTTCATGTATCATAACTGCTGTTTTAGTTAAGATGAGGGCATCACTTTGTTAAAAGTGCAAAATTGACATTTAATACTTCTTAGGATATGATAGACATGTGGTTTGGATCCAAGTTGTTAATATAATTCCCGCACTTAGATAATTCACAATCTTCTTATAAATTGGCTAATTTAGTCACTTTGTTCCTCAGCAATATTGAAATGTATTGAGACAGGGTGAATTTTTTTCTTCATTTTTCTTTAATCTAAAAAGGAGCAAGTGGTCTTACTCTTTTGCAGGAAAGGTGGTTACAGTGACCTCCTCACTTCAGAAGTGTTGCAGGTCAGCCTGGATAGCCTATGGACGGACTAATTAAAAGATAAACATAGAAAGGTTTGGATTGGAAGGGACCTTCAAGACCATCCAGTTCCAACCCCCTGCATGGGCAGGGACACCTCCCACCAGCCCAGGTTGCTCCAAGCCCCATCCAACCTGCCCTTCAACACTTCTAGGGACAGGGCAGCCACAGCTTCCCTGGGCAACCTGGGCCAGGCTCTCACCACCCTCACACTCAAGAATTTCCTCCTCATGTCTCACCTCAATCTCCCCTCCTCCACTTTTCATCCATTCCTCCTTGTCCTCTCCCTCCCTGCCCTTGTCCCAAGTCCCTCCCCAGCTTTCCTGGATCCCCTTCAGGCACTGGAAGCTGCTCTAAGGTCTCCCTGGAGCCTTCTCTTCTCCAGGCTGAACACCCCAACTCTCCCAGCCTGTCTCCAGAGCAGAGCTGCTCCAGCCCAAGGATCATCTTTGTTCTCCTGTGGACTCGCTCTTGACAGAGAGACCTTCCATGTTGTGTCACAGTGTTGTTGACAGTATAAATACAATTTCCTTCCAGCCCCATCCTCTCCTGAAAGGACCAGGGAGGAAATCTTTTGGGCTAACTTGTTGTCAATGTATATGCTGTCTTGCCAAGGACTCTTGTTACTTGCTTACAAATAGCTATTATCTTACTCTTCCTTCCTTTCCCCCTTCAACAGGAAAAACCTAAATGAAGGCAACTTACAAAAAGCAGATGTTACAAAGAGGAGCAAAGTGCATCATGCTTTGAATTTTTTAACTTGAAATAGCTGTTGCTCTGGCTGCGCTCTTAAGTTGTAGAGAGAAAAAGGTTTTCCAAGTAGGTTAGTTTTTCTGGGGGTTTGTTTGTTTGTCCTGCACACCCTAGCTGACATACTGAAAGGAGAAATTTGCTGGAGTTGAGTATAAAACGGCAGGAGTAAAATCTGCAGGTGCTCAGTAGCCAAGCAGAGACTGGTTGGCAGGTGTGGCTGTGTTCACGAGTTGCTACGTGGCACGTGCAAAATGCAGTACATTGGTCAGAATAATCTGACCAACTTCTTATGTTTATGGATGTGCAGTGTCACTTAAATGGATAAATACATTATTTCCTCCTATATTCAGAGAATCACATAATGTTTTGGGTTGGAAGGGACCTTAAAGATCCATCTAGTGCATGGGCAGGGACACCTCCCACCAGACCAGGTTACTCCAAGCCACATCCAGCCTTTTGTTAGTCCTCTAACTGATCTTGGACTACTTACAGGAGGATGCGGTGAGCATGTCTGTCATTCTGCTTTTGATCAGGTTGGTTAATCACAATGTTTCTCTTCATTTTTGTAGAACAAATTCGATTAAAGAACATAAGAAACGTCTACGGAAGATGTTTGTGGTATCGCTTGCGACTGTTAAAACCACAACAGAACATAATTCCTACAGTAAAGTAAGTACATTTAATTTGCATGACAATCCATTAAAGCCTTTCTAACATTTTTATGTTTATAAAAATACATTTTTTAAAACCAAAGCAGCTGGAATTAGTTATATAATAATGGCTTTTGTGTCACAGAAGAGACCTTTGCAGTCTATTATATTTGAATAATTGATAGTTAATCACTGTTATTGAGTAGTGCTTGAAATCAAGATGGATGCTGTTTGTCCTTTTACAAAATACCTGCTAAACGAAACCAATGAACCTCAGCACTAATAATTTAGTAAACAGTGCATTTATTTGGTCCAAAAGATAATCCTCCCTCTGAAATTTGTGGTACTAGTGGTGTCTTTTGATTTAAATATTTAATACGTAAACTTACACATTCAGATGTACAATAGCAATAATCTGTATGTTACTGGCTTTATCTCCCTCAGTTGTTTGCTTATTACTCCCACCCTCAAAATATTCTGCTGTATAAACTTACACATTCAGATGTACAATAGCAGTAATCTGTATGTTAAAAGTGACTGGCTTTATCTCCCTCAGTTGTTTGCTTATTACTCCCACCCTCAAAATATTCTGCTGTTATGCCCTCTGTTGCAGCTTTTTGGGTTTTTTAGCATTGACTTTGTCTGGGATCAGGTTAAAGTCATCCTTTAAAAACAGGAAATACAGTTGTATACCTGCTCAAGACAGAGAATTAAAAAATGGAAGGAGTCTTCATTGATAGTGGCTTGCCTGAATAAAAAAATTAAGAGAAAAGAAATTAATTAGAAGTCAGAGCAACTTTTTCATCTGTGTCAAAGATATACATGCTCAGGACAGAATTTAAAAATGGAAGAAGTCTTCATTGATAGTAGCTTGCCTGTATAAAAAAAATAAGAGAAAATAAATTAATTGTAAGTCAGAGCAACTTTTTCATCTGTGTCAAAGTTGGTGTTATAACTGCAATTCTCATACCTGCTTTAAAATTTCCTGCTATTTTAATGTTTTGTCTTGAAGACTGATACCAAATGGCTTTTTATGTTATTTGTAGAATTACACTAAGCCTTGTGGATTTGTATATTTAAAAAATTCTCTCTTCCAAACAGGAAAATAGTCCTCCTTGCTGGCTGGGCATTATTTTTGTTCCTTGCATACAAAGTTTCCAAAACAGACCGAGAGTATCAAGAATACAACCCTTATGAGGTCTTACATTTGGATCCTGTAAGTCATAACATCTCTCAGCAGTCTGTACCATTATAACTGTATATTATATGTCTAGAGGGAAAATTTAAGACTTGTTTTTTTAAAGAAAATAAGTTCTGTGAATGTATCTAGTGGTCTTGTTCTTTTTTGGCATCTGGAAGTTGCTACTCCTGCTTGTTGTAGGCAGTCATTAGATACTGATTTCCTAGATCTGTGCTAATTTATAGTTTCTATGTCTAACTCCTTTAAAATTCTAATGCCTTTCTTAATATAGTAAGTTGGATTTTTTAATCTATTTTGAATCTAAACTGTGGTGTTGTTATTTCCCCCCCCCAAAAACTGAAGTCATTCTGCCTTGTGCACCCTGTGAAAATCCTCCCAATGCCCCTTTTTAGGGATGTTGCTGAATACACTGTATAAACAAGAATGGAGCTTAATTTGATTTAAGTTGTTTTATGGCAATTTTTCCTTTGTAAATGAAAGGTTGGTGATACACATTTTGATGTAGTAAAGGTTGCCTTGAGTCTCAGTTGCGTTTGTGAATGTAAACAACAAATTCTAAATAGTGATACCAGCCACTTGGTTTATTAAACTGGAACAAAAAAAAGACATGGTGTTTAGCTAGAATACAGTTGCAGTGCTTTATTTGTATTGAAGGTCTGATTGAAAATTGATATAAGAAGTTACATATCCCAAGGAGACAAACAGACCTTCTGGACATCTCTTAAACTCTTATTTAGTCTTGTCAAACTCTTTCTTTGCTTCATCTTAACCACAATACCTCAAGCAAGTTCTCTGCTTACGGTAATTCTTTTCTGATACAAAACTGCTCCTTTGAATAGCAGTAGAGTAATCTTCTCAGTTCTGAAGTCTGAGGTATGTTTTACTCTCCCATGTAAGGAAATACCCTGTGGATGCAGCTCAACACAAGGGTATGGAAGAACTCTGAACGTACCTATTTTGATTAAACTTGATGTGTCTTGTTAGTGTTGGAGAGTTCATGTACATGAACATTATCAAATATATCACTTTGCATCACTTGCTGTTAGTGTTGTTGGTGGTCAGTCTGGAATCATAGAATTGCCTCCTCCAGTTTTCATCCATTCCCCCTTGTCCTCTCCTTCCCTGCCCTTGTCCCAAGCCCCTCCCCAGCTTTCCTGGAGCCCCTTCAGGCCCTGGAAGGTGCTCTGAGGTCTCCCTGGAGCCTTCTCTTCTCCAGGCTGAACACCCCAACTCTCCCAGCCTGTCTCCAGAGCAGAGCTTCTCCGGCCCTTACCCAGCATAAGGAGAAGCATCACTGGTGCTGCTTTTCTATGAAAACCATTGTAGCAGAGATGTGACTGCAGCCAATTTCTAGCTAGACAGGTAGAACAAGACCTGCCTGTCATGTGTGGAGGCAAGTTATTCAAATTCAACCTCCTTATTCAGTTCCTCTGTGAGTGACTGATTGCTGACTTGTCTTCTCCCTCTGACGCACAGGAACAAGATAAATTTTTCCTGGTGAATGGAATCTGCTGGAACTGTGCAGTTTAAATGTTCATGTATCTGAGTTAACCTTGGTTAAACAAATCAGGCTAGGGATGAGGTCATCAGAGGATTTTCTTTTGTCATCTTTGGCAAATTTCCAAAATTAACAACCCTGAGGGAAGCATGTATGTAGTGAATTGTAATTTAATGTTTATTAATGAAAACCTGTCCATGGGCTCAAGACACGTGCAGTTTATACAGGTGAAGAAACCAATACTGGCATGTTCCCAGACCTGATAGAGGGATGGATTAAAGCCAGAGATGTTAAAAGAGGGAATGAAGAGTTGGGTGTGAAGATAGCTGGAGTAGGGCTCAAAACAGAGTCAAAGATTCCAGAGTGTGTTGTGTTTTATACCGCTGTGCTATCAGATGATGTCTGTTAAATCCCCTGGAAAAACTTCTAGTACAGATTACATGAAAATTAACAGCTTGTTTCTGTTACAATTCAAGTGGAAACTTCAGAGTTGTTGCCAGCCCTGCTGATGTGGAAGTGAGGCAGATGTTGAAGTGTTGTTAGATAATGGAAATGTTGCTCTTAAACCTGAACTTTAAAAAAAACAACACAAGAAATGGGTCTGCAGACAAGCCCTCAAAACTTTTGGTAAACGAGAATTCTCTTGCTGATTTGCATTCACACCACGGTCTGGGTGGTGGTTTTTTATTAATCTTATGTTAGTATATCAGCTTGTAACAAGAGGATTTTCCTCCAGAGGAAAGCCACAACACAGGCATAGTCCAGATAATGTACATGCACCTTGTTTTAATTAAAATAACAGTGATTTGTTTTGAATAGAAAATAGCTCTTTTTGGAGCACATCACTCAAATTCACTAATACAGAAGATGCTCAGGTAGTATTACTGATTTATTGAGTAAATGTCCCTACTGCCATGTTACAGGTGAGATCTAAGGTAGAAAGATGAAGCTCAACTCTGATTATGATTCTTTAAGATAGACACTCAGGACCATAATATTTTTTTTGGTATGTAGTTAATCCAGGGAAGCTCTGTGTTCCAAGTAGAGTGATACCAGCTGTCCTAGGCTGCTAAGCATTTCTGTAAGTCAGACCTAACCTCTAGCCTAGCTTTTGAAAATGAGGAGTAAGCAATTCATGGTAGGTGAAAAATTTGTCATTAGCTTTTCAGAGATCACATGCATGAGAAAGAAGAAAAATCAGGTTGTTTTTTTTTTTGTGATGGGCAGCATTTATATGAGCAATGAAAACCCATCTCTTCTTCTCCAGCAACCTGTTGGATTGTTTTTGTTTCAATTTTCCAGCTTCTGCTACTCCTCTGGCATTCCACATTGAGGCTGGAAACGACTCTTTTTACTTGAAGTCTGGTTGATTATGGAGCAAATTCATCCTGTGAATTAAGTGAGCCAGGCATGCTGCTGAATAATAGTGTTGGAATGTGATAGACCTAGTGTATAAAGAGAGAGTACAGCAAGTCAGGCCTCAGAGTAGTTTATTTTCTGGTTTAAATTTATTGAAACAGTGTCATTATCTTAAACCCCCAAGAAGTTTTTAATTATGCAGTTAAGGTCAGCATGCTAGGCCTCTCTGCCACAAGATGTTGCAAAGGCCGCTGGTAATGGTTCTGTGAAACTCACTAGAAAAACTTTATCTCTGCTTGTTACTAAGTTTTGTGGGTTTTCTTGAGTAGCAGAGTTCACAGACTGACCTGAAAGTTAATGCGCAGGGAGTTGTGTTGGTGGCATTTAACAACATGCTGTAGTAGAGTAAAAATGGATCTCTTTGTCAGGTGTGGGTAATGTATTCCCTTTGTTCAAGGAGTTTGAAGTAATTTACGGGTAGGATGATTCTAGTCAAAGGCATCCTTAAGTGGCAGGGCAATCCACTGTTCCTGGTGACTGACAGATTTATGTCTGCAAGTGAACCATCATACTTGATCTATGAACTCTCTGCTTAAATAGAAGAATATTGCAAGTGAGAATTCCTCGTATTCATGAATATGTTTAGGGAAATACAAGATTTATCAAGCAGGTAAAGCAGCCTTGCATTTTTTTTTTTTCCTATGGATGGATAGACAAGATATTCCAGAAAAAAACCCACAATCCCCAGCCACCTGAATGTCTTTTTGTTAGACTAGAACTTCTAACTTGTTGAAAAAATGTAGTGATTATAAAATGGTATTAGAAAAATAATGTTTCCAGAAGTGCATATGTAGTTTCATGATTATATCATATTAGATTAGAATTCTTTAGTTTAATAAGTGGTTCAGAGATAGAAGATCTTCAGATATAGAAGAATGGATTTGATTTAAGGTACTTACTAAACTTTCCTTTTTGAAGGGAGCAAGTATATCAGAGATTAAGAAACAATACCGTGCCCTCTCGCTAAAATACCATCCAGATAAAGGAGGAGATGAAGTGATGTTCATGAGGATTGCTAAGGCCTATGCAGCGTAAGTTGGGGTTTGCTTGTTGTTTTTTTTGCCTACAAAACATGGGAACTTGATATTATGGGGTGGGAAGCCTCTAGAGTGATAGCAGGGGTGACCTAAGCAGCCAGGGAAAGTGTGTTTGGGTGTGTAATGAAAGTCAAAACGTGTCTCAGTTAATGCATACGTGTTCTCTACCAGTTAGGAAGGATAACTTAATTGTTTAGCTGCTGTCAGAATACTGTGAGGTGCTAGGTCTTTTGCATTAAACTTCCATGTTGGCTAGGAAGAGTGTTTGCAGTGCAATACCTATTAAATCTCCAAGGTGACATGTCAAGAACAAAATGGCTGTTGGGGTTTTTAACCAGCCAACCCTGTTGCAAGGTTTCTGAAGCATTGCTTAGAAAACATATACACTGTTCATTTGACTTGGTGATAAAACCAAAGAGTAAAAGACAGTGTTTTAACTCCATTCCCATCTAGGGACAAAGGTGTTTCATTCTGGTTCTGACTTGGTTTTCTCTTAGCTCCCCCATGTCCCTTTTCATTTGCACTTGTCTTGCAGTCCTGATTTTTCACTCAATGCCTGTTTCCATGAATCCTCTTTTACTCCAGAGTATTTTTTGGCTTTACTCTTGCTGCAGCATTTTTTTTCTGAGAGATGCTGATGTGCAATGTTAGAATTCAGCATGAAGGAGCCCCCTTTTTATTGAATTTTTCCATAATCAAGATGTGGGCTTGGGTTTTGTGGTGCTCTTCATACATAGAATGTTAACATGGCTTTAAAAGATCATCTGTCGAAGTCCAGTCCTTTCAGACCAGTCTTATGGATATTCCATGTATGAAGCATGTAATGTTTTATGTCAGATTTGCTTATCTGAAGACAGTTGATGTTCCATGGGACTCCTGATGTATCAGAGTGATACATTTCTATTGTGTGTTTGGTATATTTTGTGAGTTAGACTAGGCAAAATATACACATTTCAGTACACAGTTCAATCCCAGTACCAACATGTTTCCCATTACCAGTCCCTAAGCAGCTCACTGTCATGCTGCTGGGCACCACACATGTGTGTGGGCTGAAGCCAGCTTGAGTTCTT